TTAATCATTCCAATCGAACGATCCTTTTATCGTTCATTTGGAACGATAATTTCATCGTTCCAAACGATCTGAAATTTTTGGATTGAAATTTTTGCAATCTGAAACTGAACCGAAGTTGATCCGAACTGAAAATTTTTGGATTAATCCGAACCATTCGGAGCTTTAGGTGAAACAGAAATTATTGCTGATCACTGTTTGGTATAACAGTGACATCATCTAATGTGAGATCATTATTGATCAACAGATCCCACGTGATATTTGGAGTTGCAATTTCTTCCGTTAACAGCATTGTCATCTGATGAGCTTTTTAGATTCTACTTTAAGATAAATATTCTTGCTATTGTCATTATCTATTATTTCAGAAATTATCATTTTTTTATTATTAATATTGATACTAATGGCTATTCCTACTGCTATTCATATTAGATTAAGTATTTATACTATTGAACGATAATTAACAACCATTTAAAATTTATCTAAAAATCAGACGTCTAATTTTGATGTTAAACTTAATAACCTGTAACTAGAAAATAAGACAATTAGTATTGGATAAAAATCCTTGGATATATGCTATTAGTCAAGTATTAGTTTTATTTTTAACTATTTGTTCTAATATTTAATTAACCAATGATATATAGCTTCATTTGTGATAATATTCAGAAAAGAATGATTTTTATAGAAAAATTTTTTTTATACATTTCGGCAGCTCACAATATTTCTTAATTCAAATTTGAATTAGCATTTAGTTCTAGAATTATAATATCAGGTAATAGACCAAGGCATCCAAGATTTAATTTAGAAAGAATGACATATTTAATAGTATCCATATTAAAATCTTTCTTGTAAGTTACTTCATCATTAATCTTCTCAAAACTTAATAATTTATTTATAATTTGATAAAATTTCATTAAAATATCATTAATACTCTTATTAATTTCAAATAATGAAGTATCAGATATTAATTCTACAACAGATTCTGAAACATTTTCTATGTTAAATAGCAAATGAATCTGAAAAACCATTTTTAGAGTTACATGCGAATTATTATGAGTAGCATCATAAATATTTTCAAATTTAAAACTCTTTTCTTTAAAATCAATATTATCTATGATTGCTAATTTTCAAATATTATTGCTTTTGATTAAATGTTTTGTAGAATTTGATTTTTCTATTCAGTCTTTTACAAATTTTCATTTGTAATAATCTGTATGTGATATTATATGATAAACATTTAGTCAGGGTTGGGAAATTTGTATGTACTAGGCAAATTTTGACCTTGTACTTGTACTGTACTGTACTAAATTTTATATTAATTATTATGTGTACTAATTGTACTAAACTGTACTAAGCTGTACTAACTGTACTAATTTCCCAACCCTGCATTTAGTAGTTATTAAAAAGAATCTAGTAATCATGATATATGACTAAGGATTACCAGAATTTAAGGTAGCCAAACCTTTAAATAGGAAAAAGCTATATTTAATAACATAGATGTAATAAATATGACAATTTTTATTATTTTATCTGAAATTATTTTCTTTGTTAATTTTTGATGGGTTTTTCATTACTAATTATATATATTTGTCTTTTGTTAATACAATTCACCAACTATTCCAAAAAAAGTTATTTAAAAAATCTGAAAAAGCATTATAATATTCTTGAATCATTTGTGAACATTTCAGAAAATTTCTATTAAGTTTGATTTCTGACCATAAATTTCATAATTTTTATTTAAATTTATATTCAAGTTGTTTATAATCATTAATACTCGTCTTTTTCTCTTTTTTTCTTTTTTAGAAATTTCTTTAAAAGGATTTTTATCATTAATAAATCAGAAGGTTTATTAAAGAAATCTTTTCTTTATTAACTGTTATACTAATGGTGGATTTAATGTCATAGCCAGAAGTTATTTCACAAAGGTAAGAAGAGTTTCAAATGTATCTATTAAAATCTTTTTTTTTAATTTTATTATTTCCTATTTGTGTAATATTAATTAACCAATTTTCTAAATAATTTAAGTCTTTTTGTTACATTATCAGCATATAATTCCTTGATAATATATGTCATTATCCTTTTTCTTTACTTGTTTGTTAATATTGGCATGGCTTTAGATAAGCTTTTTTGATATCCTACTGACTACAAATGTTGTGCAATTGTTACATATGATACGTTCATGTAATTTTTTGTCACTTTTGTTGCTAGAGTTCTGGTTAACATAGTCATATATACTGGTCTAAAGCGTGTGATATAACAGCTGTTATCTTTCTCATCTATTTAAGTTTATTAATCATTTTATTATTATAAATAATCGAGAGACCAATTTTCGTCTGTGCATATATTTTTTGGCATTATGAATACCATTCTCCCACAAATGTAATACAGATTAATCTTGATTTTCTAGTTTTGATACAGACATTTTGTCAGTAACTACTGTATAACAAAAGTTATATATTGTTAAAGTTGTAAACATCCTGAAATAGTTAGCGATCTTAGCTTTATTTTTCATTTTGTATCACCAAAATCTGATTATATTTGAGCAAGTAATGTGCGTTTTTAATCAGTGAAAAATTTTTCACTTTTTTTTGGTAACACATTGTACATATATTAATGGTTTATTTTTCAAGTAAAAGACTTTTTTAAAGGACCAATATTAGCAGAAGGATCTCTATATAAAGGTAGAAATATCTTATTATTAAGTACTTCTATCTTTCGAAAGCTTATATGCCATATTTCTTTGAAGACATCACTAATTATGTAATACAAAATTTAATTAGTGATTGCAGTGACTAATAATTACATGCACGTCAGCTACAGCTTTATGACTAATTATTCTATTACCAAATAAATAACAATATTAGCACTTGGATTAAAATCTCATAACTCCAATATTGCTCTTCTTCAAGTTATTCCTTTAATTTGAAAGGTTAAGTATGATTTTACAGTTGCGTTTCTTTCAACCCAGTATTTTTCTAGCCTATAAGTTCTGAGGGATTTTGTCTTCCTCTGGTTGTATTTGACGAAATAGTTATCTAGCGATTTTTAAAGAATAACTCAGGTTCTAGTTTTCAAATCTAATGTTTTCTTAGCCTGTAAATCCTAAGGGATTTCATCTTCCTCTAGTTGTGGTTGACGAAATAGCTTCATATCGTAGCGATCTTAGATTATCTGAAAAAAGTTTCAGAATAAAAATAAAGAGCATTTCTCAATTTTATTCTAAAACTTTACTTACTATATGTATTTCTTCTTTATTTTATAGGTGACATGGTTGTCTCACTCAATTCTTTATCATCGTTAAAATTGATTCAGGCTATTAACTTATCTTTCTCAACAGGCATATGTCAAACAATTAAAAGAACTTATATCAGACAAAAACTTTAATGCTGTCAAATTTTATAAAAATTTAAATTTCCCTTTCGCTCGAAAGAAAGAAGTAGAAAAAGTCTTACACGAATCATTAAAAATTATCACATCTGAAAATAATGTGAAAGTTCAGAAACTATTGGCAAATTTTGACAAACTTATTAACGCTAACTCAGTAATAATCTACTGGGACGGTATTTATATACAAAATGAAAAAAATAAAACTTAATTTATTAAAGATGCATTGAAAGAAAAGGATGTTAGTAATATATGCATTATCTGTATTTTTAATGGAATGGTTATTATGGTACTAATTTGTTTATTCAAATAATCTAGAAACAGGAATTTTACTAAATAAAATTAAATGTACAAGAAGAACACATTATTGAAAGTAATCTACTTTTAGCAGAAAAAAGAAAAAACAAGAAAGAATTTTTAACTTCTCCAAATAAGATTAACATATAATTATAACTTATTTGATAAGAAAAGCTTTTATTTTTCTAACTTATTCTCAATATCAATGCATAGGTCAGGATTTGTGATGCAGAGTATAATAGTGATTCTAGTGAAGAGTCATACTCGAGCCTGAGTATAAGATTGCATCAAGATCACTTACAAATATTTTTCTTGAGTTAAAAGATTCATGTGCTAGTGGTAAAGTTAATAATGGTACTATTTTTAAATCTATGAATAATAGAAATGATTATATCTTAGAACCTAAGGATAATCATGAATAAAGTAATGTTGAAGTACTGTTAACATGTAATTCTTGTGAACTATGACTGTTAGACGGAGTGTTCAAGCAGTTTATTCTTTTTAATTGAGCAGTAATCTTTCAACAATGTACAAGTTTTAACTCAAACAATTTATTAAAGTATTTATATTATTACAATGGGTTACAATTCAACAGATGACCAATATTATGTATTGGTAAATATTGTGTTTATTTACGAGTAAAATAATAATAAAGATAAAGAAAAAGAAGAGTAATACTAAAATTAAAATGTAATGCGATAGGCCTAGTTGCTTCTAAACTGTAGTGTAACATGATAGGCCTGGTTGTCTCTAAACTGTAATATAATGTAATAGGCCTGGTTGCCTCTAAACTGTAACGTAATGTGATAGGCCTGGTTATCTCTAAACTGTAATATAACGTGATAGGCCTTCAGAATTAGTTACCTACATCAGCTAACAATACCTCACTCACTGCTAAAACTACTCAAGCTATCTTCTCTCTCTTTTACATGAATTAACAAGTTACCTATTTATATAAAATATATAGAAAGATATAACTAATATATCTAATATGTTAGCTATGTCTAATATGTTAGTTATGTCACATATGTCTAACATGTCTAATATATCAACTATGTCAACTATGTTTAATATGTTAACTATGTTACATATGTCACATATATCTAACATGTCGTATATATCAGTTATGTCAAATCAGTCAATCTTTTGTGTCACATGAGTTGTGGCACATTTATCCGTTTATAATACAATAAAAACTTATTTCAGAATCAGTTGAAAGAAACCATCCTGAAGTAAAATAACATGATAGTATACCAAAATGAAAAGTTGCAAGTAAACCTAAATATATACAGCATGATCTTACACAAGATTTACTTTCAAGTTTATGTTTGTATTCTTTAAAAGGGAATAAGTGGTTATGAAATGAACTTAAGATCTGTAATTCTTTATAAGATGATAAGAATACTAGAACGTAAGTAGTTTTTTAATATCTAAATATACCATCTTTTACAATTTTATTGAACTCTGTTTATTTTGAACAGGCCATTAAACATTGGTATTGTGAATTTTCATAATAACTTATGAATAGAATTCCTTTTATCATCAATGATTACCTATATTCAAGAATAAATGAAAAATAACGATGTTAACACAATCTTCTTTGATGATGGCAAAAAATTTGGAATAAATAAGTTTTCAATTAACATTGATGAAGATATTATAAAATATCTGGATGTATTTTAAGATTGTGTAAGCTTCTTATGTTTTTACAAAATTTGATGACAGCTAGACTAAAATTTTAATTTTTTTATCTTTTTACAGACTTCTCTAGACGTATTACAAAAAACTCTGCATGAGAATTCAGTTCACAATTACTCAAATCTCAATTTTAATATTAGCTATATTTACAGTTTTTTTAATCACATGTATGAAAAGCCTTTCTGATTGAATAACATTATTACATTTCAAATATTAATCTTTCATATTCTGTTATTTTATGAATAGGCATAACCTCTATTCAAATAAGACATTATCTCATACTCTTACTGAATATAAATATGATTTATATATGTAAATATCACTTTTGTGTAATGCGTTTATAGAGAAAGGGAATATTTAAATTTCTAGGTATGGTTAAATGTTTGATCTACTGTGTTATTATTACTATTACACATTTTCTGTGATAATTATTTATATCATAATTGCATAATTTAGTAGTGAAATTTCATCTGTAGTATATGATAAGTTGAAAAAACTTGCCCAACTTCAAACAAAGAGTGATCTAAAAATTGACTCAAAAGCAACTATTATTTTAATCAGCCAAGAAGTATTAATATAGGAGAAATGGAAGATATGATATTATAAGTAAAAAGAAGAGTAACTTATCAAAGTTAGAATATTGCTGAAAGGTGTTACTTGCTAGTGCATATCTTGTCTTACCAATCATCGTTTATTCAGATATTCATAGGTTTGAAATATACGCAATCCAAACAAATGGTAAATACTTTTTTATCTACAGAGGGCTGCCAAAAGTCTCTGAACACCACTTTTAGGTGCGATTCAATATTGGCAATTTTATGTGACTTAGAAATACTGCAATCATATGACGTTTTGAACCTTATTTACATGATTCGTACTTTAAAATGCATTTTCAAATGGTGATAGTTTTTAGGAGGATAATGTTTGGTCCCACAAATCGAAGCAGGCGAAGAATTTTTATGTAGAAAATGACCTGTACGTTCTTTTATGACCCGCTCAAAGTCCAGACTTCAACCCGATCAAAAATATGTGGGCAAATGTCAAGAAAAGCATCTGAGAAAGGAAAAAAATGCCTTCTTATATTGCTGAACTAGAGCGGCATATTAAGAAGTTATGGAAAGAAATTTCCATACATACTATCGAAAATTTGGTTGATAGTATGCTACAACAAATTTAGGCTGTAATTGAAGCAAATAGAGGCCAACCAGATACTAATCAATTAGTACAAACTTTATTTATATGTCATTTTTAATAAATATTTAATAAATTTTTTAATTAAATTTTAAAAATTTTAAATGTTTTATTGAGCTAAAAAGCGTTCGAAGACTTTTAGCAGCCCTCTATAACTTTGTAATTAGTTGAATATAAGACTAATATTCTTTCAGAGCTTTCATTATCACTATTTGTAGCATCCTATATATTCAAAAACACAATATGTATGCTTGGTTTAACTGATATTATAATTTCATGAACGGTTGATGCTTTCTCAAAATATGTTAAAACAGTTTGTAAAGTAGTATTATGAAAGGTTTGCATTCTACTTATTATTATAATACTCATTTATATTTTAGTTCATTAACTAATTTGAGCCTATATAGACACAATCCAGAAATAATACTAAAATTTTTCATGAATTAATTGGTAAATTAGCTTTCCGATTATGTGAGAGAAAATATTTCACTCTGAAAAAGCTTGCGAATAGATCAAAGTCGTAATTTAAAAGATAAAGTTAAAGACATTATTATTATAACCTACTCAATAAAATTTCTATTTGTTTACGTTTAATTAAAATGAAAATCCTGAACCTATATATTCATAATAGTTATCACCGTATGTTTCATAATTATAAAACAAAGACTGATTTGTATATTTTTTTATTATTGAAAGGATCTAATATTTGTTACTATTGCCAATAATTTGGGAATATTTACAAGTCTACTGTCAAATTAATAGACACTGGAATTTAGCTGTTCTAACGAAACCTTTGACTACCTTTACTTTCACTAAAATACAATTATATGGTAATAATAATCCTAATGTTCAAGATCTAACGAAAATCAAAGACAAGTTTACCTCTGATACAGAAAGGTGTTTTGCACTATTAGGGGATGAACAAGGTGAATTTAAATGTCAAATATGATTTTTATTAGAATATAAAGGACTAACTAAACTTATAAGAATACTTATGAAATTTTCTGTTAATTACTCTAATTTAAAGGAAATGTGCTAAAGATGCTGATTTCTAAGAAAATGTATATATCTTCAATAAGTTAATTAACTGATATTTTGATAAAATGAAAAATTTAAAAGTAATAAAGATACAGAAAATCTGCAGTCTGTATAACTTACAGAAAATGCACTATTAAATCACAGGAGAAAAATTTTAGAATTAGGTATAATAGGAGAAGCACAAAAAGAAAACTAGAATATGTCATTCATAATATGTGTTTCTGACATTACTCTTTGGATGCTGAGTTTGTTTTCCTTTTATTTCTTCTATTTTTGTTTTTTTTCTTGGATCACTATAAGTTAACATTAATATTTGTTTATTATTATTGATAATTATTTTCATTCTTTCTGGTAAATTTCATAAGTGATTTTTTCTTATCTAGATATTTTTGAAGAGTTTAGGTATTGTTGATTTTAAAAATATAAGGGCAATTTTTTCTTCTTATTCTTTTTTAAAATGCTTTTGAATAGTACTGTAATTCTTTGGTTTCATTGTAAATTTAATGTAAATTAGTTTTATATTTATTTTTTATATAGAGGTAGTCCTATATTGCTCCTGTTATGGTTTATATTCCTTACATTCTGGTATGATAAAGAGAATATTAAAATTAAGTTTATAATGATAAATTATGAATAAGCACCATTTTTACTTTTCAAAACGTTATCAGTCACACTAGTCACTTTTACAGTCACATCATAATCAGCCTCCCATTTATATCGCATAATCAAATATTCAACATACTTCAATTGATCTAGGTCTAGCAAATCAGATTAAGGACTTGACCTGATCTGATGTCAGATCATCAAATTATAGATTTGACTTAAATTTTCAGGTTAACCTATCAGGTCATCTGATTTGTCAGGTCAAATTTGAAACTCTAGTTATAGAAGTTCTTATTAAAATAATTAGCTTATAATAGTTTAAATAAGTTTCATTTAAACCAAGTATGTCTATATTAAAGTTATTAAAAAAGAAATCAATATTTTATAGTTTAGAATCTGAGAAACAATTTCTGATATTATATATAATAAAAAAAATGAGATTTGGATTATTAATAATATTTGTGAAAGCATCATTTAAAAAAGTGTTATTATTATTTTTTGAATTCATTTAGTATGCTGCTATATTATTAATTATTAAATAGATACTCATTTAAGAAAGAAAGCATTTAAAGAATCTAACAAATATTATTGATGATATTTTAATTTCTAAATGGGATTTTATGAATTGATTTTAATACTAATTACTTTTTCTATAGAAGAGATATTATTTGAAGGAATTGTTGAAAAATGATCAAGCAAAGATTTGGATAAAGGGTTAAAAATCATCAAATTCCATTTTCTATTATAGACTTCTTTAGAGTAGACTATATTATTACATTTTTCTAATTTGATAAAGTGATAATTAATATTTTCTTGATTTTCTTGAAGAATAATGATTTCATTTTTAGTGATAACTGCTTTATAGCGAAAGTAATTAGTTTGTTATCAATTTCATCTAATCATTTTAAAATGTCATTTAAAGCTAATATAGTATCAGTTAATTTTGATTATTGATTTAGATTATTAGAATTATTTTTTAATGTGTCAGTATATGAATCTTTTTGAATTTGATTTTAATTGTATATTTATGATATAATTATTTGGTTGATTTTTAAATTTATAAGATTTGTAAGATGCAAGTTTAAAATAATTGTATAGTTGTCTGTTATCAACAGAGCAATTAACCAATTATAATGAAGTCACGTAGACAATGCAGTATGATGATCTCTTAATTCAGAATTCTAAAAATATAGAGGATTTACGTAATTCTGAAATCTTCCAAATACTGATGATAACCCTAATTTTACTAATTAAAAGGAGTCTAAGAATATTTAGCATTATATATATTTTTAATATTTTGAATTTTATTGTTGTTTTTGTTTTATCTTATATTTTTATTATTTTATGTATTTTTATTATTCTCAATGTATTTATTTTACTTATATTTTATTTTGCTAAATTAGTTAGTTTATAGTATAATAATTAGTTAGTCGTGACAAAAGAAATTTTGTATAAATAGATAGACTTTTTACTTATGTTGTAAATTAACTCTTTTGCGAATACGAGTTTCAATATTAATAAAGAAATCAATTCAAAACTTATATCTTTCTGCTTCTTTGTGTCTTCACATAGTCTGATGTGATTCCTACATATTATTTGTAATTGAATTCGTCATCTGAATTCTTTAATTAAAATTGTTCTTAATCTTGTCTTTCAAGTCTTCATACTTAATAGATTTGTTTAAGTTCAACATGTAAATTTGGTAAAGTTAAGAATTAGGCGGATCTTAACGTCTTGACTGCAGTAAGTCGCAGTTAGAAATTTTGAGTAGAGACTTAATAACGTAAACACCTTAAGTTGAAGAATTATACTAGTGATATTGTAAAGGTTTAAAGATTTTGAGATAAACAATCCTTAGCTTCGTGATTAGAATTACCATATCTTTAACAGTAAGATACAGCAGGATTAATCCAGAATAATACATTTAATTTAAATTTGTGTTAAAATTTGAGTATAATATTATAATTATCTTAATTATTAAAGTTAATATAAGTATAGAAACAATTTTGATATTGAAGATCTCATGAAATAAAATACAATTTTGCGTTAATAGTATCGAAAAAAGTTAAGAGATTTTGTTATGTTATATTAAAAGGTAGATCAGTTAATTTTAACTTAAATTATTATTGTAAAATTAATTGCAAAGCATCAAGATTAGTAGATTCAATGTGTACTATAAAGTCTAATAATGGTAAAGACCATACGTTATTATAAAAGGATTTGATAATTCATAAATAATGAAAACTATTTGTTAGTAACCTTTGATGATCATTGAAAATCCTGTGATTGTGTCATATTATTGAAAAATTTCATATTATATCTGATTTGACAAATAAAAGTATATTATTGATCCTGATGCATCTTCTTTTTTTGACATTTATTCTTGTTTTTTAATAGATAAATCAATAACTACAAATATGAAGGTGTATTATGTCTCTAAACTTTTATAATAATATGTATAAATTGATCAATAAAATAAAATAAATAAAGAACTTTTTAATTTAGAGTTATATAAAGTTCCTTAGTAAACTAAAAAGTTAACAAATAATCTGTTAATAAAATTACGTTTATAGACTATAGATTTTTCTGTATTATTTATAGCATTGTTAGTTGTAAAAAAATACATTAGAAAGGTAATTATATTAAAAGATGTTTCTTTTATGTTAGAGTTATATGATTAATCAGATTCGTTTACATTATTTTTCACTTGGTCTGCTCAAAAAAGTTGTTTGTTCTTTTCTATATCAAGGTTAAAAATAAATGTAAAGACTTTAATAATATTTAAAATATTTTGCATAAATAGAATCATTTGTGCTAAAATCTTGCGATATAGAAAAAGGAGTTTTTTTGCTATGTCTATTTTTATTTCATATACTTCTGAATCTTCTATAATAAAGTTTAGTGTAGAAGTAACATAGGCAATTTATATAAAAGTTGATATTAGTTGAGTAATATTTGGAATTCCTATATTTGTTGAACTAATATTGGATTTTGAAGTTTTAAATTTTTGTCTTTTTATAACTTTAGTAATATTTATATAATTTTTATTATTCTGTTATTATTAGAGAATAAAGCATTAAGTTTTTTATCAATTTCTAAGTTATTTGAAATAGTTTTATTATAAAGTTCAAGATTTTCATATGTACTTTATCTTTTTGTTATGAGTGATATATTGATGAAAAGATCAGAAAGAGTTATATTTTATTTTCTTGTAATTATTTTTTTTTTTTTAAAGATGCGATGATGTAAAATTTTATTATGTATAAAAAACTATTCCAGTATAAAATACATGAAAATCCCAAAATGGATACAAAAGTAGAAAAATAAAAATTGCTGCCTAATATTCATTACTAGAGAACTAGCTCCCACCAGACCAATCAGTTGTTCTGTCTGATTCTAATTATAAAGATTTACTGAATAATCATCAATATCAAACTATAAAAGGGATTGTTAGAATAATTAGTTATCACTTGTCCAAGAAGAGGGACCAATGGCAACCATATTTGTAAAAGTTATTAATTAGAGTAATATGATCAAGAGTATTCGTATTATTAATAAATAAAGTGTTAGAAAAATTATTAATAGAAAAGATAATGCTAGATGTAGCAAAATTGCTTTTCTTTTGTCTTTTCATTATGTGTAAGGATCTTTCTTTATTTAAAGTTAAAGCACATCTAGTTTTTCATATATTGTTATAGGCTTGAGTAAAAATAAAATCAAAAAAAGAGGAGAGAATAAATGAGGTGGTAGAGGAAGATTTGGTAAATGTTGTTAAGGTTAATAATAAAATATTAGGAATAATGTCTTTTATAAGGTCAATAAAGGTGAAATCATGTGGATTTGCTTATAATGATCATATTGTATGTGAAGGGTTTAAAAGATTATTGATATTGTCTGTAAACACAGATTTGAAAGTATAAATGAATAATTGTAATTTTATATGAGCAATAGATTTAGAGATCAGGGATTACATATTTTGTCTGATAGTAGAATAAAGCCAGATATGGTTGAAATCTTTGTTATGACTATTACATCGACAGCTTTTCCAGAGAAGTAAATATAACTGAGATTGAGTAGCTTTTATAAATTGAACTGTTAGAAGCTATTCTAAAAGAAATTTAAGTTTTCTACTACAGTTTCTTGTTTCAGTAAAAGATGTGACAGAAGCAGATCCAGATTAAATAAAGTAAAAGATTAAGAGCTAATTCACTTGTAGGTATTGATACTTAGTATTTTGTTTGAGATGATAATAATCAGAAAAATGTTTAGTGTTAGTATAATCTTTTAAAAATAAACGTAAAAGACAATGTATAGACATGTTGTTAAATATAGATATATAGTTAATAAAAAAAATATGGTTTAGGAATAAAGTTAGGAGGAAGAAAAAAGAGAAGATTTTGCTAAATATTCAGCCTTATTATTATATAGATCATTAGAGTATACAGCAACTTTGAAAAGAGAAATAGTGATTTGTCATTCCTTGATGACTTTAAAAATAATTGACCAAAAAATATAAAAAGGAACTTTAAACATGAGTGAAGGATATTGTATTGCATTTAATCTAACTATATAATTGTAAGTATGAATAAGAACTAAACTGTCAGTATAAACAGAAATTGAAGAAGACGAAGGACTAATTAAAAGGACTAAGAGGAGAGCAAATATTTTAGCATTGATAGAATTAGTCTAGATAGCAGGAATAGCAGTTGAGAATACTATATTTAAGGAGTCATATACCAAACAAATGCAGAACTTAAATATGAGGTAGGGGGTGAGGGAGCAAATTTATGAGAATTATTTGTATAAAATATAAGAGATTGTTCATTTTGAAGAGCATAATAAAATTCTAATAAGTGTAAGCTAATACTATTATTTGGTAATATATTAAAAATATTGATAAGTGAAGGAGAACTTAAAATGAGATTATTTAATATGACAGTAAGTGGGCGTACTATCATATAGTGTTGTTTTGCTTGATTAATAACAGACCAAATATTATATTTGAGAAGATACAGTTTGTTATCATTTACAGAAGAAAAATAAGTGACATCAATAACTTGTGAAAGATTAGCATTAACTATATTACCACAAGGCCAAGCAGTAATCGATGCGTTGAAATTAAATATTAGTAATGATGAATTAAAAGAGCATCCTG